TAGGGGCAAACCAGAAACTAAAATCTGGAATCTTTTGTGTTTTGGAATCCGGAATCTGCAACAGTAGAATCCGGAATCCAGTACCTGGAATCCGGAATCCGGAATCCACAGCGTGGAATCCAGAATCTAATACTGTCCTGGATTACCTTACATGGGGCGAAATGTTGATAACTGGAAGTTCGCGTGTAAGGAGGTTATAGCCTTAGCGTGTAAGGAGGTTATAGCCTTGTTCTAATCTGTTTAAACTCCCAAAGAATCTTTCACGATGAAGTTATACAGAGTATATGAATTAAGTTTCGGTATGTTTATTCGCCGTTTTGTTGACGAGACTCGACAAGGTCGTTTTTTGAAATATACGCATCTTTTTTTTTTATCTTGTAAAGGGTAACTTCCAGCATTGGGTCAAGGTTTGAAGATGCAGATGCGTCCCTATCCAGACTTTCCGGAAAAATTCCTTAAGTTTACCATCATTGACATTCTAAGAAGAAATAAAAACGCTCTTTGGTTAAAAGTGTGCATAAAACTTAGAGGGAGAGAAAAATTTGTTTCCCTTGTTGTCTTTGTAGGTTCCCTGCTTCGAGCGGAGCTAAAATGCCGAGAAACTTTGCTGGTTCTTAAACTTGAAGGATGGCAGAGAGCATTGACAATCGCGAGGAGGCAAAAGAGTCGCTTAACAAAGCACAGAAGGAACCTAAGAGCACAGATTACTTTAGGTTGGCCAAGAGTTCCTACCTATGCGCTAAGGGTGAAGTGTATTACAGAGCAGGGATTATGGTAAAGTCGCTGAGGATTTTGCACAAGGCGCTGAAGATAATGGAAAATGTACGAAGTGCTTTCCAAATGGGGGAGATTTGTCGAAGCTTGGAGGACTTTGACGAAGCGGAAGAGTTTTATGAGCAAGCATGGGAGATTGAGAAGTCTCTGGGCCAAGGAAACCACAGCGAGGTCATGGTCAGAATCATTGAGAGCTACGAAGCGATGCTTCTCAAAGGAAAGAGGAAAGATGAGTTTCGACAAGAAGCATTCGACTTTTATCTGCGCTACTGGAACGAAGAAAGAGCCTTCGAAGGGTTTGAATTTTCTCCCGCCAACAAGCGAGTTATTGATTCAATAAATGAAAGGCTTGATGAATTTGGCGACCTGCAAACAAAGAAGAGATACCAGAAAGAAGCTCTATGGTTTTATGAAGGCGCGTGGAATTCACCCGACACGAGAAAGTTACCAGACACTGCCAGAGAGGAAATTCTGCAAACTCTCTGTAGGCTCTGTAAACAGCTTCGCGAGAAAAGTAAGGCCGAAAAGTACAATAACGAAGCCTTTCGATTTTATGAAAAGAAGTGGAAAAGGGACAACGAAGGGATGTCAGAGCGCGACAGAATCGACATTCTTACCACTCTTGTAGAAATGGCTACATCACAGATGAAAGAGAAGAAGAAACAGAAGTATGAGAGTTTGTTAAAGGTATGACAAAGTTCTTTAACCGATCAATGCATTACAATAAATTGAACGGGTTTTAGTTTAGAGATATATGTTTTTCATCTTGTCACGAGCGTGGGACAAAGGAGGGACATGAGGAATCGAACCTCAAACCTTCAGATTCCGCGCTCCGATGCTCTACCATTAAGCCATAGAGACTCTACGTTGAGCGAGATCTATTACGAAGTTCTTGTGAGTTTGGTTTGGTAAGTATGATAGTGCGATCATTAACTTTCGTTTGTATTTCGCTCTATTATTGGTTGAACCGAGCAACCTCGCGAAATCTACCCAGCCAGTCTCCTTGTGGAACAGATGCATCCCTGACTTGCCAAAGGCGTTGTCCTTATATTGCCCAGGCATGCTACATTATCCTTGGTGGCTCAACATACTTTGCTTTTTAGTAGCTCTTTTACGTTACTTAGATTTGGACTAATGGCGATTCTCTGAACTTTTTCCCGTTTTAATGCTCACTCAGGAAGCCAAACAGAGAGGAACTTTGATGGGAACTGTGAAAGGATTCCTTTCTTTAGGAGCAAAAGGTATTTGACGAGGGAATACTTTGACCATAAGTCGCGCCTGTATTAAATAACGAAAGACACGCGTTCTATCGGAAACATTAGATAAAACCCTTGCAATTACGCTTATAAAAAACGTGGTTAACCAGGTTTTTTTAATAAGCGTACTTGCTGGCGTTTTTAACCAATATGTTTTAGAGAACATGAGTCTCTTTCGTTATTTATGAGCATGGTTGATGTTATGTAAGGTTCGTCATTCCACGGGGCGTGGGCGAACAAAGCTTTATTGTTATTGTTTTTCAAATGCAGGATTTGCTTTCCATTGGTGAAATCTTTTTCAAACAGAAAAACTATACTATTTTAGAAGCTGAACAGGTGTCTAGTGACGATGACGATGACGATGACGATGATAATGAAGTTGACATTCCTTACGATGATGATGATGATGATGATGATCTCGATAGTAGCAGTGGTAGCGAAGAGATTCCAGAGGCTGGTGAGCAAGTGCAACAACTAACAATTCAGGAAGAAGATGGCGAAGAGTTAGAAAGTGAGCAGGAACAAGAACCAGATAGGATAAAGATACACGAGTAAGTGAAAATGAATGAGTTGCCAGTAATCGGATCCTTGCGTTTGTGCAAAGATTTAGGATCACCACGGGGCAAACATAACAAGTTGATGTAAGGAAATATGTGGCCGAAGGTTTTTTCGACATCCAAAAAAAACCATTTTGGAGAGAGATCGATGATTTTTCGCCGCATTTTTATTAAAAATAGTTACACAATGTTAATAAGAGGGAACTGTAAGATTTTGTCATAGTTACCACGAAATCATCTGTTATAAAATATACCGAAGAACTTCTCTCCTTGCTTAAGGTCTATTAAAAAAAGAAACATACAAAAATGATTGCATGAGGGCCGTAAGCAATTCCAGGTGCAGGGCCTGAGAAGGCTTCACGTCCGCTTGAGATGTGGGCTGAAAGAGGAAAATAAGAGAAGGAAAGATTGGCAGTTACGTGTGCTGGTATAGGTTGCGCCGGACGGCAAAATTGTTGGCTTTTGGGAAAGAAACAAGTTTGGAATCGTAACAAATTGATTTTATTTTCCTTAGTGTATTTAGGTGAAACGGTTACTTTCTTAACCCTTATGCCAGCGCGGGTCCGAAATCCAAAACACCCATTTGACTTGAACAGATTATCATAGCTTTAATCACAAATCCACACGCGTAATACATCTCCAAATCGCTAAAGAAGTGAATCTGTCAAACTAGATATACAGATGTACAGTTGGTATACAGAAAATCTGGAAAACGGCAAGCAGAAAGGTAAAAACTTACGCCTTTCCGGGCTCTAGCATCGGAACACGTGGTCAATAACAACAAAACTAGCGCGCATGAGCAGAAATCCGCGACGCATACATGACGTAAAAAAGGGCGGAAGTAATTCTCCTAACTGTTTGCTATATACTTCTTGCGATGTTAGTACGGAGAATTTGGTATTGGATCAACTAATAATCCCCTAATTAATATTTTTCTTTATTCTCATCACTTGTCTGCTTGATATTGTATTGATATTGCAAAGAGAAATCCTGTCTTGTTGACTCATGGAAGTTAAAGGGTTGAGGAGCGTAGCGAAGGGAAATTTTCCAAATTTTGCTGGTTTAGATATACTGGACCTGAGCCTGGCAGTCAACTTGCAATCCAGGAATTTTGACGGAAAAACTGAACCAAAATGAAGGCAGTGTTGATGACATTATGGATTACAATTCCAGCGAAAAAATCTCTTTTCTATCCAGTTGATTTCATTTTTATTCATGGTATTGTGATTATTTTCAGAGGAACACTCACTAGCGAGGACGTGCATTGGAACATCAAGCTAGGGGCTGTACATCTAGCCTTCCCTCGTGATGCTGTATCTGAGCTCACCCTGATAACGGTCCATCGATGGAAACCCACGGTCCTGTCCCCGCCTTTGCAGGAGCACGAGGCTCTCGTCAGCAACGTTATTGAAATTTCTTCGAACAGTCACGAAGCTTTCAAATTTGAAGCTGAGGTTAAGATGTCATTCACTCACAGTTCTCCCGGCCTACACGGCTACGAGTTGGTGTTGTACAAACGGATTGACAACGAGACTGGTACATGGGAAGAAGTGACCGATGTGGAAGACTTCAAAACTATCTCAGGTTGGAGGAAAAGCCTTTAAATTTGTTCATGTTAAATTACAGATAAACAAACTTGATGCATCGTTGAGTGTGTTGGTCGAACATAGATGGATCTGCGAGAAAATCTGCCTCCAGGAATGTCTTAAGAGAGGGTAGCAAAGGGGTGGGGTAAAGAGGGGGGGTCTGATCCCATTTCACGCGTCACGCATAAAAAGGGAAAACTTCAAATCTCTCTTCTTGTGTACCAAGTTTCAGGGAAATCTTGAGGTTTTCACGAAATGAAAGAAAAACAAAAACACGGAATACGCGTATTTTAAGAGACAAATCACGCCTTACGTTGGTTCATAATTTCGCGAATCACGCTTGCCTTGTTCTGTGAAATTCAAGCGTTGCATATCGATTTTGTCCCTAAGCACAAGTCACGTTTAAATCCTTTGCCTCCCTCTGAACGTGGCTCATGAGTATGCTAGATGATTTTAAAAAGGTTGCTGGCTGCCACTAGTGAAGCCAAATATTGTTTGACTGGTAACAGTCAAAGTTGGTGTAGTTAGCCCTAAGGTGAACACGGAATAAATATTTACGCTCTAAAATATTGTGAAGACATTTTTCAGAGCGACTCTTAATAATGGTGAGCCATTAAGAAAGAATTCGATGGGTAGTTTTCCTTGTATTGCTTGGTCAGGACTCTTCTGGATCGTTCAGCCAGGTTTACACTAAAATTAGCTCTCTCTTAACCTTGTCTTAAGACTAAGGACCGCTTATTTACACCAGGTCTAGCCCAAATCATGGTATTACACAATCAGTGGGCCTCAGGTTTTGTCTATAAGAGGGTTGACTTGGTTAGATAAATGTCCTTCCACTGTTGGCTTCCGGCCCTCTTGACACTTTTCACAAAAATGAATGCCCAGATAAAAGGTTTAGCTGAGTTAAAATTGCTTAGGACGCGGTTTTGTTGAACTACGGCTAAACTTTGTTTAAATAATAAGACCTTATTGTACGCACTTGTAAGCCTCTGAGAATTCTTATTAACTCGCCCTCATTTATTCTTTCACTAGATGCCTAAAAATTAACTTAATCTATAATATATTTGTTCTTTGTTTTATTGATATAGATTTTGAAGAAGAATATCAATCTAGCCAAGATATTCCCAATTTACACTTTCCTATTGTGCAAGCGGATATAACAGAATGTGCCACATATGCTGTTGTGAGTCGTCTCCATCTTTCCCCTGAATTCACGATCACATCAAATGGTGGTTCCTTTTTCATGCCTGAATATCCAAGTATAGGTATTACTATCCCGAAAAAGGCTGTTACTTCGAAAACAAGGATTCCTCTTCGAATGAAGGTACAGAATTTTCCTGAAATATAACAGATGCGAGGGAAATCTAGAGTCATTACAGTAAATGTTCGTGATTGTTTGTCCTAAAGAACCAGTGGTGGAAGCGTCGAGTCGTTTGACAAGCGAAGTCCCAATCGACAAGATTTGGTAAACCTTGGGATTTTAACGTTTTGTTCCCTGAAAATGTACTTTTACCTTCTGTTTGTTGCTTGAGTCTGTCTTCTACCGTTGGAGATCCATGAATACTACATTTGAAAATGAAGGCGGAGAAAATTCTCCCCTTTTCTATTTCACTTTACCGCAACGTAACTTGTTCTTAACCTAATGAATCCTTGGGTTTTCTCTTTACGACATAATTTTCCTATTAGGTGCAAGAAGTACCAGGTGAAGAGTTTAAGGCTAACGATATACTTATTGGACCTATACTGCGAATAGTTTGCGACGAAACGGTTGAGTTCTTGAAGCCCGTTACCATAACGCTGCCCGTTTCGTTGGGAGACACGCACCATGACTTTCCTGATCCAACGGCATGCCGGGTAAGAATTTTGTTTCTGAGTTCTGATGGTGAACAGAAGGAATGGAAGGAAATCACCGACGATTTGAAAAATCCAGTGACGTTTGACGGGATGACAGTTAATTTTCAAGTGGAACGCTTCTCTGGGTATGTATGTTTATTAATTGCACCAAATGTGGATCGCTGGTTTGCAAATCGTCATTTGCATACCCCCTAATGGGAATATTTCTGGACGTGGTAATCAAGGAGAAAAACCGCTATTTTCTTATATATTAAAGTTCACACGGCAACCAGGTGGACAATCAAACATTGATGCTACTCTGGCTTACAGATTTAATGAATACAACAGAAGAAGTTACAATTCACAGACCCAACGTTTCGACACTCCTGTTTAGTGCCTTCATCAGGGGTGATCTAAATTCTAAAATTATCACCACTTATCGGCGTTACCACCAGCGCCTTTGTTTGGAAGCTTGGCATATTAACTCCGCCCACGTTCCTTTAAATCGTGACGATGGCGGCTTACTTCCTAACGCCTATTTACACCTCGTCATTAAAAAAGGTAGCTAATTAGTGATCATATGAAAGGACCTCTTGTTGCAGCGTTTAGATCACCCCTGATGAAGGCACTAGACAGGAGTGTCGAAACGTTGGGTCTATGAATTGTAACTTCTTCGGTTACATTCATTAAATCTGTAAACCAGAGTAGCATCAAACTATGTCTGCTATTTTCTTGCTAAAAACTGGAATGTGGTAACCTCAGAACTTTTTCACAAAGTTTTTCGTCAACTTTTAGTCTAGGTTTAGAAAGTATCGAAGTGAAGATGATTTATTAAGCGAGCACTCGGCTGCGGACATAATAACTGATAGTTAGATAGGAGTTTCAGCATGTATTTGAAAGAGTTCTTCCTATAAATAATTTAGATGCTGAAGCTTCGAACTGAGTTAAGGGATCTGCATTTTTTCCCCCTCGAATGCAAAGACGGACAAACGATAGACAAAGCTGGAAAAAACTCTTAGCATCAGACCTACTTTATGAAAGGAAACCCTGTCTCGCGTATTACCATCGTGATACCGTCTTTTGCATCTTTTATATCATTCTTTAAACAAAGAAAAAAGTACACTCTTCCTAACTCAATTTTCTTATTTGCTGTTTCTTGGGGAGACGTCGCTGAAATCCCAAACAACGGCTGATAAGGAGAGGAAAGTACTTGCAGATCAGATCTGGTGCTAAGTTTGCAGTTTACATACAGTTCTTGAACTTTTATTACAGGTACTCGTGTCTTATTGATTGGTGTGCAGAGAGCGTCAGTTATAAAGGCGTTATCGGATATCTATCGAGCCTTATTTGGAACCAACCTCAGCTGGCATGGTTCTTCGCTTACTTCCCTCCCGAAGAACGCCCTGATTCTCAAGACATCCTTTTCCTAATTTGCTGCCCGTCTCAACTTAGAGAAAAGGTGCTGGCTGAAATTAAGGATCGAGCTAATGTGCCTACTCCAAGCGATTCAAGCATCAAGATGATTCCTGGGCGTGATAAGGCTTACGTCTCCCTCACAGGAGGGATCAGAGCGATTGAAGAAGATGACATGGAGGAATTTCATCTTCAGTAAGTTTTTAAAAACGCTTTACTGAGAAAAACCACCAGTATGCTATCGACCTGAAGTTTTATACCAGTAGGTTTTTTTTTAAATAATGCCAAGAGGGCCGGAAACGTAAGGGATTTTGTTTAATCAAATTCAAAATAACAATCAGCAGAGATTTAAAGTTGAGTTGTTACTGATAGAATTTAACTCAAACTTTGACTTCATAAATTTGGTTTTTTCTGATATAAACTGCAGGTGCTACAGAGCCTAGAGAAAAAATTAAATTCTAATGCAGATTATCACTGTACACTCGCTCCTAGCTCCCCGTTTCCAGTTCCTCGTTGGGCGTGTACGTAACATCCGTGCTATTTTCTCTGCAGGAAAACGGCAAAGATTCTTGCTAATAAATACATCCTTTTTCGTGCTGATAAGAATTATTTTTAACAGGTTTATAAGTGATGACCTCCATAAAGCTCAAGTTCCAATCCGTGTCATTGATGATAAAGGACTTTCAGGGGTGAAGTTTTTCAAAACACCCAAGTTTGAAAAAGGCACTCTGCTATGTCGATTGAATTTTCGAGTATCGCCTCTCAAGAGAAAGCTGAAGGTAAGAGGTTTATTTGTAACTTTCTTGGTACAAATTGTCACTGCCTTTTCGATTGCTGTACAGTTTTTGAACGTGTTTTTCATACAATTCCTTTTTGTTCAACGACGGTATTGAGGATGACAGTAGCAAAATTCCGATCAACAGTACGGTAGAGTGTATATCCAAAGCCGACATTTTTCAGGGGACAAATGAATACAGGGGTAAGTTTCTAAAGAAACTGTGGTGCTGCGTCGGTGGGAGAGTATAGCAGGTAATTTAGTGTCAACAACTGAGTTAATTCATACTGACGTTTCGAGCGTTAGCCCTTCGTCAGAGCGATTGAATCGCTCTGACGAAGGGCTAACGCTCGAAACGTCAGCTTTTTACCCTTTACGGTGGCTATTTACGTTTTCAACTCAGTTGTTAACACTAAATTACCTGCTATTTTTCAGGGGACAGTTTTGTGTGTTGATGAAATAGAGAAGGAAAATGAAAAAGAGGGAAAAGGAAAGGAAATGCAATACGATCACGTAACGTATCAAATGGATTTTATCATACATGCATGCAGAGTACATGGCGGATTTCGTAGAAAATAAACATATGCGTCTTGAGAATTAAACATCTACGATCTCATAAAACTAAATAACAACATAGTGTTTTTTATTTATTTTTAGAAAATAGCAGTGGAGTTTTTTGGCATTCCTGTCAATGACGAAATCTTGTCAAATCCGCGTCCTGAGCAGGTTCTGGTGATTGGAAAAAAATTCGTTGGTTCAGGGGTGTATGACGATCTCCTTTCCCGCTTCGACAAAGGCAACATGAGTCAGAAGCAGACAATAAAAAGCTTCTATGAGGCTCTTGCAGGATTGAACATCGAGACCCAAGATGAGTGCTTTGAGGCCCTTGTCAAGGAACTGAACGAATACAAAGTATACGGATTTGTGGTGGATCGACTTAAGGAAGGTAACGACATTAAAAGGTCAAACAATTTTCATTTGAGTGTGAAAAGTAATTCAAGACTAGTTTGGTTTTGTTTTACTTCCCTTTGTAATTGGTTCATAAAACAAGTGCCACTTTTTCTAATTCAACCGACCATATTCAAAAGTAAGGGCAATCGTGACTTTGTCGTTTGCGTTTCTCCGGGCTATGAGCAGTTTGCTTGTTCTAACTTTAATAAGCTCCCAGTAATGTTTCCCTTTGATCGGCGGTTGTGATATAAATTTGGTTGAGGTTTGACGACACTCAATTGAATGGAGCTCTGATGGATAATGGTTCACCCGTTCACAACGCTTGACACATCACCTTTACTCTTAGAAGTTATTAACGCCTGAATTTTCCTCTCTGTGTTCATACATTGTCTGGAGTACAAGTGAAGAGAATTGACGAGCTCATCACAAATAATTTTCTCTATATTGCAAGAATATACAATAAAGAGAATCACCCCGGTATCCCAAATTCTAAACAGGTTTGACTTAGTATCAATGTTGCTGCAATTTGTTGATGTCGCGTTCCTTGCAGAGCCCCCCTACAAAATGTTAGTATTTCTTGTAAATGGGGGCACCAGGTTCTACGTTCAACGAAATGTCTTGCGCATTTGTCCTTTTCTGACCGCAGGGTTGAGCCCCGACCTAGTCCCTGGGAAATTAATCTTGGCAAGGTCCGGGCTCAGCCTGGGAACTAGAGGGGAGTTTACGGTGAGTCTCCCTTGATACCATGCAGTTATGTCCAGTTCAACAGAGTCGAGATCGCAGAGGGGCTAAGTTTGGATGATTTGCTCTTGGAGTGGGGTTTGTGATACAAGAAGTTAATCATTTAGTGGCAGGTTTCTGATCTGATAATAAAGGCAGAATGCACGCAGTCCATTTGGAATTTTTTATCATATTCCTTTTCGCCCTTCTAGGTAAAGTTGCTGTTTGCAAATCATTGAAGACAAATGCGGACGTGAAGAAAATTGTATCAGAAAAAGTAGAGTATCATTGGAAAAACCTGGCAAGAGAGCTGGGGCTTGAAGATGGAATAATTGATGCGATATCTGTGGAACAGCAAGATAAATGTGGAGAATGCTGTTATCAAGTTCTACAAAGATGGTACGAAGAGAATGGCGAATCAGCTACTATCAGAAGAGCCATGGTGGCACTGACTAGAATAGGATTAGCGGACATCAACAACGACATTGTAGATTGTCTTAATTTGAGACGTTAGGATCAAATGGAGTTAGACTCATAGAACTGATAAAATTGGAAGAATTTAGCATGCAATTTGTATCTTCAACGACGTGTCTTTGGACTTCATTCAATGCACAATGTACCTTGGTACACACGAAACGAAACGAGCAATCACGTGATGCCAAACATGTTATGGTCAGTAACATCATGCGAACACTCTTACAGACAATAGAAAATTTGCATATGACCATGTTACTTTGTTATGCACACACATACGCACCCATGTGACTTTGGATGAAGACTGATGGCAAAAATTGAAAAAAGTTTTGTAAACTTAGTAAAAGTTTGAAATTTTTTAAATGTAAATTGAGATCTTTGGACTATTTGAAAGTCTGGTAGAAGGGAGAATTCGCAATTCAGCTCTCTTTTATCCTCAGAGGCGTCGCTGTATATAAAACAGAAAAAAAGAAAAATGTTTTCACGTAAAAGGTCGCTCATTTATCCACCCTTCCAAGTCTAAGGAGGCCTTGAGCATTTGGGCAAAATGACTTAAGAATTTTAAGAGTAGTAGGCCCAAAGTACACGTTACATCTAAATTTGGCTCACTGGCTAAACTTTATTCCCAGTACATATAAATATGTAGATCAGTATCTGTGCATCTACGAACCAAATTTTAGTAGGGAATGTTGTACCATATGATAAGAACACACTGAAAATTTGTTATTCTTTCAAACGCGCGGCTATAGGTTTTAGAGATTAATTAATTTATAAACTGCATAACAATATTGGTATGCATTTTTTTAAAAAGCAACTTTTTTGCAAGTAATTTCTGAATCAGAAAGTTGTTGGTATTTTGCTGTTACTAGCAATTTGGACTGAGTTTGGCACACCCAAAATCGTGTATGTTAAGTTCACATTGAATAATTTATTAATAATTTAGGTAAGGCTGCCCTATTTTTTCAGCCCTCAATGGTAATTATGGGCAGCCTGAACTCTCTCCATTTTTCATGTAATATATTTTTTTGTATCATGTAAATTAATGTAGGGTACAAATAAAGTTGTTTTTGTTGTTGAAATGTTAACCTTTCCTATTTTTTCCTTTCAATTTACTTTCTTTTTCAAAGGATATGTTAGATATGTTCAGAGTAAAATGCACATGAGAGAACGTTTGACGACGTAGCTGTTACGTTTAAAACGATAACAATGTTTGAAATGCAGAGGTGAGACCCTGAACAAACACCGAACTAAACCCGACAAAACCAAACGTGTATCCTAAGAAACCCGATCAGATTCGTGTAAAGACGGCTAGTGTCGGAGATGAACTAGAACGAGTAACAAGAGACGAGATAGTCCGCCATTTTTCGGAAAAAAATTCTCTTAATTCCTAAAGGGATGAATGCTGTCCAATCCCATCAGATGGATAAATTTGTTAATGCCACTAAAGGATCTCCCCTTTTTCTAGAATTACTGGATCCTATTCTGCGACAGGGACGGAAATCTGTTGGTAAAGTCATCGTGAGACTCGCTCTCACTCCAAAGAAATCCAAGTGGAGGAAGATGCCTCAGAGAAGCCATTCGATTTTGGGGAAGATGGATTAGACATGGGTCAGATATCGGTAGTGAGAGAAACATTCGATACACTTTCCACTTAAAGTTTAAAGGTCTCTGCAGTGGTGACTTCCTTGTTTCGTAGCCTTTCTCTGTGAAAATAACTGCCAAAGTTCTCTTCATTGAGCAGTCAGTGGCTATTGTTCAGTTGGAGGGTCTTGTAGCCAGTCGAATCATTTTTGTAGTTGATGAAGAAGCAAACGAAAGGAAGTATTACATTCATCCACTCTTACAGAAGTATGCTGAAAGTATCAAGAGTCAGGAAAACTTTCTTGCTATTTACCTAGGGGCAAAAGCACGCTTTATGAACTTTTCATGTCCAAGATAGTGGAAATTGCCAGTTACATAGAGCCAAACTATGTCAGAGCATTCCATGTATTTGAGACAGACGGAGGAAACCATGAGTTTGCTGTTGAGATTTCCGTACAATCAGACTATTTCATTGTTCGAGGTGAATTCCATGAGATTGCTTTGATTGCATCCCTTTTTATTGCAATGCTGAATGAGAAGAAAAGTAACGAAAGTGTTAGATTCCTAGACTGAGATGTGTGAAGATGATGGAAAGACAAGTGTGGTAATTTAACGTTGGTGTTTTGTCAATCATAAAATGAAACGAAAAAAATGCAAGAATTGCAATGGTGCAATCAAATTCCATGCTGTAATTTGTATTAAATTTTTAGAGTATGTATGTCACACCTGTATAACAAATGTTAAAGAGGACATCTGCTGAGGTGCAAACTTTGATTGACCTCAAAACACAACTTGTCAAAAGTGTTCAAATTGTAAAACTTCCCTCATAATTGGGAATCCTATCTAATAAATTTATGTTCTTTTTAGTATTCCTTTCATGACTATAATTACACAGCATCATTTCATTTTGTGATTGTGGGGAGATAACAACACATGTTGTCACTTATAGGGCCTTAAAATGACTCAATTAATTTAATTTACCCCTTTCACCCTGACATTAGTATGCATATTCTCCATACTGTTCATCATACACTTCTTAGGTGCTGATAAGGAGAATTTGCTTAACAATCAAGAGATTTTTTGATTGGTGACCATTTTCTTTATTTTTGTGACCTTCATGTGTGATTTAGGGGAGTTATTGCAAGGGGAAATTAGGGTGAAAGGGTAAACGGACAAAGCCTAGGGGGATCTGAGCCCTTTTTTTCCTGGGAAATTTTGAAAAGTGAGTTGTTTAAGACTGTATTTGATGGGTTTTTGGTGCGTTTTGATGGCCATTTGTGAACACCTTTTTTGTGATAACTTACTTTCCTGTCTAGTACATAGACTTTCATGACCCATTGGGGGGTGTGTACACACCCATCACACCCCTCTCTCTACAGGCCTGCAAAGGAATCTTCTCCTGTTTTGAAAATAGTTTGAAAGGTTCAGCTTGTAAAGTCTCTCCATTTGAATCCAAGCAGTACCCTCTCTGATGACTCTTCAAATCTCTTCACAATTCTATTGCACTGCCATGTAGACAAGTAACAAGAACTGTGCGGAGCATCAGCTGGGAAATATGATCATGACAGGTCGTGGCATTTTAGGACAAGACAACATAGATGTAAGGTTGTCATTTAGGATAAAAGCTTTCTGATTGTTGAATAGGAAGGAAAAAAACATTAAAGAAATTATATAACTTAGTTACAGTAAATATTGGCAACTTTCATGGTTGCCACAGCCATAGGTGTTTGAAATTCCCTGACTTTTCCCTGACTTTTCCCTGACAAATGTAAAATTTCCCTGACCAACTGAATTAACAATTTCACAAATTAGTCCTGATAATGGCCTCCAACCTCCCCTCACAGCCATCCTCTCCACCCATTTATTAATGCTTTCAGCAAGACACACGCAGTGTACATGAATTGATAGTTCCTTAACGTAACATGGAAAAAGGATTGATTTTCTTGGAAACCTAACATCAGCTTGTTGTTCAATTAAATGAAACAATATCCTACTAATCCAACATGTGTCTTGTCCTTGAAATGTACCAAAGAATTTGAAATGTTAGAAAACAATGAAAACAGAGGAAAAAGAAAGTGTGTGATTTCATTCACAAGCCAACTTTCTTGCATTACAAGGGAAAACGATATGCTTATCAGGAATTTATCAACTGTACTAAACAATATACATGAGTAACAGCAACATCACAGAAAGTTAAGTGTTAGCATCTTTCATCACGAAGAGGCCAAGACAAGATGAATGACAGCTCGCATTCTTGACCATACAAAAACACCACTGAGACGGCAGTAAATAAATTAGTACTCTTAAAATTTCACTTTTCCCTGACTTTTCTCAAAGATGTAAATTTTCCCTGACTCAAAGTGAAATTCCCTGACTTTTCCCTGACCTTGAAGAATTTTTTTTTTCCCTGACTATTTCCTGACCTGTGGCAACCATGACTTTAGTACCAACTGTCCGTAAAAAAAAAAGCCAGGCTCTGGGCTAATGCAAACAGGCAAAAAGTCTGTTCTGACAACCACAGGTCTTGTTTGTTATTTGCCCATTCTTTTACTTGCCTTCACTGACTTGGGGCATGGAACAGGCTACACTAGAAATGGTTTAGATAGGAATACAAAGTGTGACAATTAATTACCTCCCTAACTAACTGAAGCATGAACAGACATTCTATGCAGAGATTTTACAGATTAAAATTTAATGGTAGGCTTGTGGTCATTCCAAAGGTGGTAGAAAGGGAGGTGATTACTACGATAGCCCTGCTTTACAAAGTGTGCCATTTGCAGTGTCTGTTGTGTAACCCTTGCGAAATGGCTTTTGGAATTCCTAGGAATTCCCAACCATAACAACTTTGGTTCTAAAAACCCAGAAATTCCTAGAAATTCCCAGAAATTCCCAGAAATTCCCAGAAATTCCAAGTTTATAGCCAACAGGATGTGGAATTCCTAGGAATTCCTAGGAATTCCAACTCAGAGAACCAATGACTTTCCCTGAAAAGCTGTAAATCTAAAAAATTCCTAGGAATTTCTGGGAATTTTTGGGAATTTTTAGGAATATTTAAGAATTACTGAGAATTTTAAGCAAAAATTTGAGGCTAATGATATAAAATAAATACTTTAAATTAAAAAACCCAGCTAAAATTCAAGTATTCAATGAAATTTATTTAGAAGCTTAATTAAGGCTTACATGTAAAATATATTTGATTCATTATTAACATCAATGTGTGGTAATATTAGGATGGAATTTGATTTTTCTTTTCTTGAAAACTTCATAAGGATTAATCCTCAATTACAGCTTTTCATATAAAATAGTCCTAATCAATCATTAAATTTGGTTTGACACAAATTGTGAATAAAATCTGTTGATTCTTTTCCATAAAATACAATATCTTAAATTATATTTGAAAACCAAGCACTCTTAGGAGTGAAGGGGTTAATTACAGACAAATAAAATTGATTTTTTGATTAAAATCTTGTTGTAACTGTAACAATAAATTAGAATGAAGTTATCCTAAACTGCAAACTTAGCTGCTGTTTCTATTTTTTTCCTGGGCTCACAATGAGTTGGCCTTGAATGAGGTTGTCTACAAGAAGCTTG